TTACTGCAGCACGAAACACTGCAAAAACGCATGATCGCACGGGGCCCCCAGTGCGCGTCGCCAATGGTTATTGATTAGGATTACCACCGTGCTGACCAACAAACAAGCATTGGCAAAAGCAATCAGAAAAGCTGCCAAGTGCATAGCTGAGAAATCACAACACGAAATGCAGCTGACTGAATTATCAGAGTAAATCAAGTCAAAATCCTCTTCACATTCATTCTCTGAGCGAATGAAAGTTATCGGCAAATAGTCGGAGTGGTAGCAAATGCCAAAAGCAACCACTAGCTGGCAATACAGTCGGTGAATTCCTCTTTTGAAGATTGCTTTCAAGCAAGCTGATGGTGAGTTCAACTCCAAAACAGATGCCAGTACCAATTTGCCATTAAAACAAATAATGGAGGAGGAACAAATACTGGCAGTAATAAGCTATTAAATGCCAAATGTATACAGCCTGGAACTGCAAATAATCCATTCTCAGTATTTTTACCGAACTGAAGTTTTAGGTCAGTGGTCACAGGATTGATATACAAAAAACTGTACAAAATGCAGCAAAGCATTTGAATGTATATGTGATCTTACATTCTCACGTTGATCCCGGATGGTTGCGTAAATTTGAAGAATATTACAGCTTGACGGAAAAACCGGTGATTTACCTATTTTTGATGAGAAACTAATCCCTCACAGTTTCAGAAGTTGGAAAGCACTCGGAGCTTTAACGCTTATAAATGAAGCAAGGGGTGGATACTAACTTGGTACATGCAATCCAGGACCGAAAGGCCGACATAGGATCCTAGTAACGTCACTAACACGGAATATTCATACCAATAGATTGTAGACCTTGGTATCAGTGGAATCTTATTTTTTTAAGATCGCCACGAATTTCTGGTACTACACAAGCCATGCTATAAACTTGTATCGTATTTTAAGGTCCGAGATATCATGAATAATATGATCAACGCACTCATGAAGTATCCTCAGCTGCATTTCGTCTGGTCCGAAGTATCATTTTTGGAACGGTGGTGGTCCGAAGCTAACGAAACTTACAAAAAACATTTTCGCAGGTTAATTCATCCTTTTGAATCAACAAAACTTTCTTTTAATCATCCCGATTTCAAGCCTATGAACTTTGCAAAATATTGCTGTGAAGCGTCGAGGTTATGAAGACACACTTATACAACAAATACAGCTTACCACTTTCACTCTGAGCCACATACTTTAAATAGTAATATTAAAAAAATAAACACTGTTGTGTCAGATGTTATAGAATAGGATGTTTGAGAAGGTATACTTACAGATTTTAGGTACTCTAGGAAGTGCATAGAGCACAAGAATCCATAGTATAATAGATAAAAAGTTTTGTCCGGGTTTAAAAAGGAGTGATTCGATTCTCCCCTCCCCCTTCTCCTTCTTTCTATTTTCAGTCTACAGTCATCTTCAAAAGGGTGACCCGCTCGCGACACTGATAAAGTAATATAGAATGATAATGAATATTAATAGTGATATATAAAATTCGTTGCTTTTGGCAACATATAAACAGTGTGTGATATACGTACACATACATGTAAAAGGATAGTGATTGTAACAAAAATATATATGTAAAAGGATAGTGATTGTAACAAAAATATATATGTATAAAAATAATGATAGAAATAGTAATAGAAATGTAAATATATATCAGAGCTTTATTGCATAGTTTGATCGCAGAAGGTCGTTTGGAAATCAGTGGTGCATCTTGGGTGATGACTGATGAAGCAACTCCATACTTCTGGGCCACCATCGACAACATGGTTGTCGGGCATCAATATGTTCAGCAAATTTTGAACATTACACCGACAACTTCATGGTAATTTTTATTCAAATAACTGCATATTATTTTTTTGGTGGACGTGGCTCAGTGGCAATTGACGCTATTCTTGTGTTGAAGGTCGAGAATTCGATTCTGCCAATAGTAGACTGTTCACTTGTCTCGGCAGTAGGCTGCCGGAGGTTTAAATCCTCCACCAGTTTATTTAAAAGCAACTCTCGAAAGAAGGAGCCTTGATAGCCTTGCCAAACAACAATCATTCGGGCCACTCCTAAGTAAACTCTGCATGTTAAAATTATATAGTAACAGGCAGCATCGTATTTGATTAAACAGGATATAGGTCTGTGGATCCATTTGGACATGGCCTGATGGTACCGTATTTACTGTCGCTGTCCGGAATTCAACGTATGGTGATCGGTCGTGTGAATTCTAATATTAAAGATTCTTTGAAACGCCACCAGCAGCTTCATTTTCGCTGGGCACAATCTTGGGATCCGGTAAGTTACTCGTATTTTTTTGCTCTGTTCTGGCTGAAGAAATGAAAGCGTAAAGTGGAAAAATTGGGAGAGCTCATAATAAATTGTATTAGAAATGGGCCGCGCACTGACCAAAAACACGGAATCATCCACATCCACATGCACAATTTAAATAATTAAAATGTCAGGAACACAACTCTTAGTTCACGGCAGACTAGTTCTCCAACTGTGCAGCTGACTAATTGTCTAGTTGCATAGACCAACGTCACATTTTCTGGTATTCAGCGTGCTGGTGATCCTGATGCTCTTTTTTATCGCGGTATTTCTTACCGCCACTGGTGTAACTGGCAGCTTTTCCATTTTTCGCTATCTCATTCATAATAATCAAATATATCAGTCGGATTCTTACGCCGCATTGGCAGTCTCTCCTTTATTCTTTTAGCATAAGTGGGCACCATTCAATAATCCGCCTCTTCCATAATAAAAAGGGACTGCCACAACTGCAACTTAACGTACATATTGCCTTTTACGCGCAATTTTTCAACGGAAAGGAGTTAAGGAAACTGAACAACAAGAAGGTATGCTGTTTGCAATTACGCTAAAAGCAATTCAACACGCATTTTTTAAAAACCTCCAGTTGCAGCGTTTCCACTTTCCGCAGATATACAATAATTTCCATCAAGGGCAATAATGTTTGAACTGTTTCGTATAATGTTTGGGTATTTCATTAGCACGAGTATCCTCGCCATCGATAAAATCAGCATGATGCTAAATATTTCTCGCGTTTGATTTCTTTTCAAAAAACAAAAATTAGAAAAAGCGATATTTCTTCATGTGAAATATCCTTGTTTTTCAGGAAACTCGTTGGGCCCCGTTTGTAAATGTACTGCCAAATTTGTATTACACGGTTATTAATGCTTGTGGAATAGATGAATCAGTCTGCTGTCAGTTCGATGTTGCAAAATCCGCTCGAACACCTTGCACGGAACGAGCGCACGTCGAAAGTCCACAACAAATTGCAAAATAGTTAATTTTCTGCTCAGATTCAAATTATAACTACTTTCATATCCTTGTTTTTATAAGTATTACACGGGACTAGCCCGAATGGTAGTATATGTCAACAGCAACTAATTGCTGCCACCGTTGTCGATGACTCAGTGTTTAGAGGATTGTTTATAAGCAAGCTGATGACGAGATTAAATTTACCATTACGAATGAACGATTCGTTGAAGAATTGGCTGTTCCACTGTCAGAGTCGTTCTGTACGAAAATAACACTGCTGCCACAAGAGATTTTGAATGGTTTGTAAATGTGTGGTCCTCACAGTTCCCAGTGTGCTGGCTTTTTCCGTAGGTGGTGGAAATCGCACATTGCTAGATTGTAGAGTTAACCCTCGTAAACGAGGCGCGCATAAATCGAACACGAGGTAGATACGAATTCGAGGTATGTAGTCCAGGATCTTACGTAGTGACATAGCTGCGCCCAGCACGTGCATTCGAGTAGCATCGCTAAAGTGGAGTATATACACTGACTGTTCTAGCAGATTAAACCTAATCGAACTTGTGTTTAACAGTAAATGCACCAGTAAATGCGCATTGATGTTTTGTATGTTGCAGTGCAACAAGAATGGCATCGCAATATCGTTCACTACAACCGTTTTATAACTCAGATACAATTTTGGTGGCTGCCGGTGATGATTTTTCATATTCTCTTCCAGAAGATTTGGAGATTGTCCAGCGAGTTTACATTGCGCTCTTCAGCTACATTAACAACAATTCGAAAAAATTCAATATGCATGTAAGACGGATCCATTTTTAGAAATCTCATACTTAAAGAAGCACCGTTTTGATGCAGCGGAGTATGCAGAATTTTCTTTTATACAGGATAAATATTTGCTCCAAGAACAAAGATTCCCTTTATACACATTTCGTTCTCCCCTCCCCCCTCCGCCTCAGGAAAAAGTAACTGTTGGGGTATAAAAATTTCTTAACGTATAATGAATCAACAAAATTTGTCATTTCACTGTCACTGTAAATAATT